GAGCCCCAGGCTGCGGGCTGGGACTGAGCACAGACATCCCCCCGCCCTGAGCAGGGGACCCCCGGAGCCGCAGCTGCAGCCCTTGGAGGGTCAGCCCTTCCCCTTCCCCGCACGGACAGACCCGCGGCTCTGCGGCACCGAGCCCTGCGCGCTCGCCCCGGCGTTACCCAGCCTGACCCCCGCGCCGCTTCGTGCCAAGTGTAAATGTTTCATAAACCGGGAAGCTGAGCAGCACAAACCCCCCCAGGCTGGCAAGTCACCACATGTTGCCACCACTGCCCGTGCTGGCGTGCCCCGGCACTGGCACAGGAGGGACCGGCTCTCAAGAGAGTGGGCGAGTGCTGCCTGTCCCCACTGCATCTCTCCACACGCAGATCCCTAAACTCAAAGGGCAGCAACTGTGAGCTGCTTGGTTGACGCCAGCCACGGAAACTGGTGGGGTTTATGCTCGCAGGAAACACCGACGGCCCCAGCTCATCTTGGGCTGTCTCCAACCAGCACTCACTGGAAGGAACCTTCTGGCACAGTCGCCAGATCTGGGGAGCTGCAACAGCCATCCCTCTGAGAACGCTACTCCACAAGTTTTGGGGCTCATGACAGAAACTTCGCACCAGCGCACACGACACTCAGACAGCGAAACCCTCTGGCGAGATCCTGGCTGCCCGCTGCAGCACGGCCTCGGCACTCACCTGTGCTGCTCGAGGGTCTCGTTGTCCGGTAGCTCTGCCCCACACACGCTGCACTGCTCACCCAGGGCTCTGCTCTCTGTCTTCATGCCGGCTGCCAGCTCCCCCAGCTTGCTGAACAGCTCCCGCTGGATGAAGCCCTGGGGCAGCAGCCCGCCATAGGCGCTGAAGTCCATGGAGACAGCCAGGGCCGGCTGCACGTGCAGGGCAGATGCCACCGTGGGCGGCACGCCGAGCACCGGCTCAGTCTTGTGGTTCGGCAGCAATGAGTAGATGCCCAAGGGCTTCTCTCCCGGGGCAGCGGCGGACGGCTCCGGCCCCAGCGGCAGCCCCTGGCCGGGATCAGGGGGTGGCTCTGCACCCTCCTCACGGGTGTAGTGCAGTTCACGGGCACTGGTGATGACACTGCTGCGGGTCGGGGTGCCAGGTCCTTCCTTGCCCTTCTCGTCAGGCTTCTCCCCACTGGAGGCACCGGGCTCGGCTGTCCGGGGACTGTCATGACTGGAGGCCTCATCCACCTGCATAGCTTCAGTTTTGACTTCAGCGAGGCTGGACGGGCGGCGGGTGGTGGCAGAGCGTGAGTCCTCGGGGACACTGGGTGGCAGGGCACCCTGCAGCAGTGACTGCCCGATGGTCATCAAGCTGTCCACCGCCGCCTTGGTGGGGCTCATGGAAGAGAGGGAGCAGTAGGATGCGGAGGCAGAGGGGCTCTGCTCCACTGTGGCTGCTGGCAGACTCTGGCTGGCCATGCCAGCATAGCCACCCTCCTCACCAGTGGGCTTGGAGATGAAGAGGCCCTTGATGTACCTTGACTTCCTCTCCTCCTCCTCCTCAGTGGTGGTGGCGGCACCTCCATCAGCCATGGCGACCTCGGTGTCATTGTCCTCAGAAGCCTGTATAGTCTCCAGGATCTTCAGGCACTGCTCCTCCAGGTACTCTATTTCCAGGATCTCAGCAGCATAGAGCAGGTCATCCAGGTCCTCGACCTTGGCTTGTAGGGTGGCGGTGTACGCGTACTCCAGGATCTGCTGGAATGTCTTTGGCGAGAGGAAGTCCAGGGTGTAGTGCTGGCTGTTGCGGTGGAAGAGGATCTCAAACATCTTGCTGGTGCAGGCCAGCACGGTCCGGTGCGCATGGAACTCCTGGCTGTCCACCATGATGACCACGTCGCACAGCGTCCCCGCCAGGCGCATCTGGTTGGCTTTGTGCAGCAGCCCGGTGGGGTGGCAGGGGTTCTGCAGCTGGATCAGCCCCATCTTAGTCAGATCCATGGCGCGCCCCAGGCTCACACATCAGGGTGTCTCGCCGTCGCTCAAATCTGGGACCAGCTTTGTGTGCCGACTATCTGCGAAAACAAAAGGCGGAGGGGGAGAGGAGCAGAGTGGAGCGGGAAAGGGGGAGAGGGGAGGGAAGAGACGAAAGAGAGAGAAAAGGGGAAAAAAGAGAAAAAAGGAGGGGGAGAAAGAAAAACCGGGGAGAGAACGGAGAGGAGAAGTGAGAAGGGAGCAGAGAGTAGAAGGGAGTGGGGAAGAGAAGGGATCGGGGAGAGGGAAGTTAGCCCGCAGCCCAGCAGCGACTCGCCCAAAAGTTTCCGCTCTGCGCGGCGGATCCGCGGCTGCCGGAGCCGCGTCCCCGCTACCGCCGGCCGGGAAAAGCGAGGGAGGGAAGGGAGAGGAAGGTGCGCATCCCCCGCCGCCGCCCGACTCCTGCTCCGGCCGCCCCGTCCCGGGGGGGG